GGGTACTATTCTACCACTAGACCACTGGTGCCATTACTTGCTTCGAGGCCCTCAAGAAACCAAGGTGTTGAATATATAATATAATAACTCGAAGTAAGAGCTAAGCAATGATTGATGAGTGACTAAAGATGCAAGAATAACAATATCATTGTCCATATTCTATAGTCCACTTCTCATTTGCAATGAGAAGCCAATCAAGGCAGGCATTAAGCAATTATACCTTGACCAAGAGAAAATATCTAAAAAACAAAAAAAGGAGTGGCAATTTGCACAAACAGCTAAAAAGCTAAAAATTGTTTCCCGTATTGTCATGTTTAATGCATAGGGAAGATGAAAGTGGAGGGGGAAAGGAGGAAAGAAACAAAATTTTTTTTTGAAAAAAAGAGGGGAAATGGTATAGCTCTGCTGGCTGGCTTTGCAATTTCCCTGGTGTACTCTGTCAGGTGCGTGAGGTTATCTTCTTCTTTTGCTGCTTTTTGTTGATTTCGGGGGGTCCATTTTCCAATCCAACCTCAGGCTTAATGCCTTCAGATTTGACGTCTTTGCTATTCCTGCATCCCCCATTTCACAAAGCTGGTGGAATATAATTGATATGTGAACATGAACCCCACCTAAATTTCAAGCGCCCATGGTCAACAACTAAAAACCCAAATCATTCAACCATTTTTTATTATTTATAAACCAAGAATCTTGAAACTAATAACTTCGAATTTGCCTACAAACCTATTCCTTTTTCAGTGTTCCATTGACTCTTTTAACATTGGATCATGCTCCAAATTTTTTATGTTCAATCTTGATATATATATATATACATAAATGAATTGGAAAATGCTAAAAGAGGTGAACATTATTTGAACAGAATGCATAAATTTTCATTTGAAGGAAAACATATTCCAGGATATCATTGTTATGACTTCTTTAATGAGCAGCTAAAGACTATTATTCTAACCCAAGTTCCACACGACCAGCCTTTTTCCATGCAAATCAAGGGAACACACTTTTGCTTTGTCGTAATTAAACAAACATCCCTTTTGTTTGTCCAATACAATTATCCAGTGAACAACCCCCCAATCCACACTCTTTAAACACCCTCAATTACCCTCTGGAAAGAAGAACCTTCCCTGATGCAGAAAGTAAATCATGATTAGATTAGCACGATTAATCTTTCTCACCCTGATTCACATGAAAGAGCAAACAAGAATCGACTTCTGACGCTTTATCAAGAGAGAAGGCCCCTTTTGAAGTCGTAAACACTTGGCTTTTGGCTACTATCTTATCTTTCTTCGAGAATTAACGTTAAATAGCAAATAATGACAATAATTAAAACAAGCTCAACATTGTTTTACATTAATAGTAATAAAAGTAATTTAGCACAAATGACACAATTTATGAGTTATTTTCACTTTCAAATATTAAAAAGTTTAGTGTTTTTCCGTTTGGCATACATTTTTTTTCTTTTTCTCCTTACCTTTGATTCAAAAGTAAACCTTATTACATTATAAACAATCATAAAACACTTATTACTTTAATGATTACGTAATGAATTTTAACTAATTAATTATTATCGTAATAAAATTATTATTTTAATTCACATAATAAATTTTAATAACTATTACATTAAAACTCTTTTTAATATTACTGCGCATTATGTGTATTAAATTTATTATTTTGAGGAGCTATTACTTTTTGTTCTGAATATAATACCTTCACAATTCAATTTTGAAAAACAAGATTTATAAAAGCTAATACAAACATAACTTCTCTATATACATCCTGTCTCTACTTCTCTTCTATTTAGTTCTTCGCCGTCCTATTCTCAATGTTGCTCTACAGCTTACCTATTCTTTACTTATATTCAACCATTACTCTAGATTTCACCAACACTAATATATTTTAGTATTACTCCAGTCATCCTTCTACTTATTTACAACAATTCCACCCTCTCGGTTATAAAAACCCCTTTTACAAAAGCTAATTTGACCTCATTGTTTAGGTTTGGAAGGCCATTATTTTCTAGGAGATGCGCACATCTGAATATAAAGTTTCACATATTTATTTTGTCCAAGACGTTTAATGTATTCTTGATTAATTGAACCTAGAGAAATAATGCTACTTAGATAGCTCATTAACTAACATGAAAAAGTTGAAATTATTATTTTCTTCTATGATTAGGAGAATCCTCTGCTTAAAGAGAAGAGGAGGGGGATAATTAAATTCTAATAAAATTAGGTTGTATACCTCTACATATAACAATAATAAACTCTACAAAATTGGGGAAGCAATTAATTTTCCATCGCGGTCAAAACTTCCCCACGAATCATTACCCTCCTCCAAACACACAACACACAGAACTACTGAAGGTCTCACTACTATTTTTTTTTTTCACATTCAATTCAAGGGTGATCTGCGAGGCACACCTTTCCGGCGGCTAATGCTCTCAGCCGCAGCAGCAGCCTGTGAGCAGCTGCTCCGGCACGAAACTCGAGGCATTAAAACACAGCTGCGTTTCTTCATCTTCATCTTCATCTTCTTCTTCTTTTTCACGAACTCAGTTGTGGCAGTGCAAGCAAGTAATGACGACTTGCAGTTTATTGCATTGCCACCGTTGCTAGTAGTAGTGTTTGTTGATCCTCCCGACCAAGTTCTGGGGGAAACAGGGGAGTTCAGGACAGAGTCAGGAGTCATCTGAGGATCCTCTTCAATCTCTGTGACGCTGACATCACTTTTAGTTTTGTAGAACAGTGGAAGTAATTCAGAGTTTTGGTCACATTTTTTTCCGCCATGTTCGGCAGTCTCTAAGTGATTAACCTGCATGCATGTAGCAAGCAATTAAACTGTGAGAACGAAGAAAGAAACAGTAACAGTAGGAGCAAAGTGAACAAGTGAAGAAATCAAGACAGTGAATACATACTAGTAATTGACTAAAGAAAAATGATGAACCTTGCAAGAGATGGAGCAGAAGAGAAATGGGTCTTGGAGGCTGCGATCGCATTTGATGCAGAAGTTACCAGAGCCTCTAAACGGGCGTGACATTGGCCTTTCATTCAAAAACACTACTTTGGCACTGTTTGTTGTGTATGGCTGTAAAGTTGAAAATGATCAGAACAACTAAATCCCAAAGAAAGAACAGAAAAATTTCAATAACTAGTTTCTAATTCAAGCTAGATTACGCACTTGAACAAGGAAACAATTGATCAGTTTTTGAGCATCACTTAACCGTATGACATCTTGGTAAACATATCTTCTTATCTGCACAAAGGAAAAATGTATGAAAAAAGAAGAAAGGATTTTGATCCGTAAGAAAGTAAAATAAGGTAGAAATTTTATGCTAGTTTTGGACAATCTGGATCAATGAACCTGTAAGCGAGGATGAGGGAGGTGAACAGGCAAGCAGTGGGGACAAATAGCAATGCAACAATTCAAGCAGAAAATGTTCTTCTCATTTTTCTTTGCACACTCATGAACTATACAGGGATCAAAGAATTTTTCTCCAAGAAGAATCCCAAGCCAATGAGGAATTGAGCTTGCACCAACCTGTCAGAAATGAAAAAAGAAAAAAGAAAGGAAAACCCAATACCAAAAAGATTTGAATCAAACCCAAGAATTTCATTTCATAAAATGAAAAAGAAATATTTAGAGTTCCAGAAAGTAAGTTATAAGATATTTCACCATGTTCAGTTTCCCTGTTTGTTGAAGAAGCAGTAGAGGGTGTCAGGAGTTTTATAAAGAATAAGGTGCCAAAGTCGTAAGTCATCAATGAAATGTCATTGAAAGAGAGAGCTAAAAAGAGGAAAAGGGTCGGGGGCCTTGTGGGGGTGAAGGGTAGTGGGAGAGATAAGAAGAGTGCAAGAAAAGGGGAACGGCGCCTCTCTCTGCCAGCAGTAGCAGCAGCAGCCAGCAGCTCCTGATTTGCACTGTTGTTGCAAAATGGGCCCTGGGCCTCATTTAAAGCCGCGATGAGGGGGGGACACAAGTAGTTGTTGTTGTTGTTGTATGTATGATCTGCAGATTTTGAATATCGAAAACAAATCTTTTAGCAGTTTTAGACCAAAACCTATCATCTTCCCCCTATAACTTTAAGGTCTAAAAACATTTCATACTGTGCAGTGATTTTGTTCTTAGCGTGTTCCACCCACCCTGTTTTGCGACTGTAGCAAAGTTCCCATTTCTTCATTAAAACCCTCTTGCAAAATTCTGATGTAATCCTCTTTTTCCGACTTAAAAAAGTATAGCATGAGACGGATAAAACTTAAAAAATGAATCAAAAAACAAAAACAAGCATTTTCGTGGGTGTAAAACTTGGCCAAATAAAAGCTAGTAGTAACAAAAATTTGATGTTTTCCAGTCCAAATTACCCTCTTTTGAAGCACTACAATGTTTTCTGTGTCTTTTTCAAGTAACATTCAATCTATTACTTGTTACCATCCTCCTTGAATCTTCATTAACAAAGAGTGTCAAAAGGTTTTTTTGGCAGGCAAGAAAGGTTTAGGGATAGGGAAGAGAGGGATGGATACACGACTGTAGTTATTTCTGGTCACTACTAACCAGACCAAACTCGGCTAATGTTGACCCTTGCTGCAGAATGACAAGGATCATTAATTTGTTGGTACATAACACTAGTAGGAATCTCAGATGTCTTCTTCTTCATCCTTTCTTTTTTAATTTCTCAAAACCTCTCTCCCCCTCCATTGTCTTGGTCTGGTTTAACTTAAAACAGAAAAATTATTAATTTAAAATTACTTCAGTTCAGAAAATGTTAGTTTCACTTACTTGTGGCTTAGATATCATCATTACCAAGTAGATATACAAAAGTGAAATGCCGAGCTTATCATGTAAGTCTGTCCTTCTCTGGGGAAGATGACATGATACAACACTTTTTCCAGTCCAATTCCAATTATGCAATTCAATTTTGTTATAATATATGCAAATATGCAAGAAGCAATGATCCGAAAAAGAGAGAAGCAACAAGTTTATGTGGATTCTTAATTGGACGGCTGTCCCATAGTATGGGGCACCCTAGGTGGCTACCATGACCTTGGAGAATCAGAGGCTGGAAAACCAAGACAAATCTGGGGGGAAAGGATTACATTGGCAAAAAGGAAAGGACCTCGCTCTCTCGTGTGAACTCTGAGTGCCTACAATTCGGTAAATTTTCCCTTTGGAAATTTTGAATGGAGCAGCAACAACGCAACAACATTTACTCCTTTGCCGCTTGTACTTCAGTCTTGAGACGGAGAGGATCTCAAATTGCCCGTATCAAATATCATTATTCGGGATTTTTACCTCTACCACACCCCGCCCCCATAGCCCGTAGCTGTTCTTTTAGGCCGGCGGGGACCACAGTTTCTGTTATTTATCACACGTGTTCCAATTCCTTAAATTACGTATTATTTTATTGAAAATAAATGGGTTAATTCAGGATGTTCGGTGAAATATATACTTATCCGTACTAACTGTGCCTCCCCCAAAAAAATGTCAATACCTAATAAAAGCAAGTATATTAGTTTCCTTTTTCATGAGAAAAGGCGACTGTTCTTTGGTTTGGCCAAGTGGAAGGTGACTGTTCAACTTGGTGCTTTTTGTTTTTTTGACCAAACATGGTTTTGAAGCTTTTGATTAACAGGGACGTTTCCAGGATCTGTCATTTTACTTCTAATTCGAAAATGTACATGGTAATGGTATGGTACTACGAACCTGTAAAAAGTCTCTAATCTCTGGAAAAAGAAAAAAAAAAGCAAACAAAAGATGAATTAAGCAGAGCTTGCTTCCAGGTCTGATAAAATTTTTGCTCTGTGCCCTGCTGAAGGGGTCTATGTTTGTCGGAATGATGCATCTTTATATCCCAAAGGCCCGAAGGGTATCTGTTTTGAATAACCGAAATTTGTAGCCATGAACATAACTACATGGGGTTCCAAACTTTTCCGTAGGGTAGACGTAACTTTGCCTACAAAATCTGGTAGTAATGTGCCGAGCAAGTTGTCTGCCTGATTAGAAAATTTTCCTAACGGACTGTCAGCTGAGTTCCAATCCATCTTCGTTCCCCCAACCAATTTGCCACGTTAGCAGTCTCATTCCAAAGACAAATTTGGGTAGTCTTCCTTGTATAAGAATAAACCTACCCTTTTATTTAAAATCCAATTATATCCATGGTGATGCTGTATGATTCACGTTGAACATTTTTTATTAACATAATCATTTTATAAGCAATATAAAATCAAAATCAACATGTGATTTGTTTTTAAAGAAAAAGAAAAGGAAATTGTGAAGTCAATAGACGGGAAACTTGCAAAAAACGAGTAGTTGAACAAACTCTTTTTAACTTTTATTGTTGGAGAAAAGAGTTAAGTTAGTATTTGGAACTTGGAAGAAACCAGAGCTACACAGCGAAAACAACAGGATGAGTTGATGAGGATTAAGGCCTTTTAATCCTATGCAAACCAAACCTTGTAATTCACGAACTGTTAACAAACGGGTATTTGCCACGTACGCCGAAGGAGTACCGAAACAGCGAGGACGGACCAGCTCCACCCCCGTTAAGAGTCAAGAGCCAACTGTTTTCTGCCCAACAAAAGCAATCCCGCACTTGGATTGCAGCAAAAAACGAATCTTGGGAAATGGTGAAGCACATTGCAAGACCAACATATTCTGATAGGGAGGGAAAGTAAAGAGTAGCATTGGAGTTTCCTCAAAATTCGTTGGCAAAATCGCCAATATTTTTCTTTTTCTTCTATCTCCGGACCCTCCAAAGATTTCAAGTTTTTAACCAAAACAGCCTGAAATCTGCGTTTCACTCAAGTTTTGCATAAATCTATTGACCCTCTTTTAAAAAATTGATTTTTTTGTTTAAAAGTTATTTACTTTTGAGTTTCTCTCATTGTCATGGACTTTATATACACTTCCTATAACATTCGAAAGATCCTTGCTTTCTCCCTTTGAGACATACTACAAAGTTTCAATTTTTTTCCCTCTCTCCTTTATAGCTATAGAATTTCTTTGCTGGTGTAAAGCGACTGTTTTGTATTGTTTTTTGTCCGTGAGTGTAAATGGCCAATACATCTGGGTTTTTCACACCTTCAGTTCCGAGCCTGAGGAGAAAGATTCAGCCTACAATAGGCATTTCTCGATCTGGGTTTTGCTTCTCTGAAGGAAGCTGTAGGAGGGTAGTGTGCTCAAGTGGCATTGAAGGTGCACAGAAGCATGTTTCCCCTTCTGAATCTGGAGTACCCAAGTAAATTTCTTCTGCTTATTTTATTTGATTTCTTGCTTGGTTGATTTATTTCTCTGGCAATTGAGTTGTTCGAGCTCTTGCCGCTGGTTTATTTGTGAAAACGGTGTTAAATGAGCTTGTTTTCATGGGCTTTGATTTGGCACCTGTAGTGGAGTATATGCGGATTTTTTGTTCAGGGAAGAGGAAAATTTTGGTTTATTGTTGGATTTAATTTTTATTGGAAAACTACGTGCTACGGTTGTTGTGAAGTTCAAGGCTAATTTGTTCTTGCACTAGCAAGAATCATGTGCGTTGAACAAAGATGGTTTTTTCATTTATAAATTGATGAAAGGGGTTCATGCATGCGCATCAGGAGCTTGTTTAGAGGGGAGTTGACTTTTTTAAATTTGAAAGATGAGGATCTCATTTGGTTGTAGTGCCCATCAATTTGTGTTGCTTGCTCCTGTTGGATTATTACTGGCACTTGAAAGATTAATGATGAGCTGAAATTGCCAATCAACCTAGTTTATGCAAAGGTTGGCTTCAGTATGCTCTTAAGTAGTCCTAGCTGAATAAACAATTCAATAAGCCTTTATATCCAAAATAAGAATGGTACTTCAAAATGATCAGCGTCTAAGTGGGCTTTCTGGCACCCACCAATTGTACTTAGCTTGATACTGAAATAGTCTTGGTTGTTCTCTGTTCATGTAGATAAATGATATAGGAAAGTTTTATTGGGATATGAGATTAGAGTGGAGGAAATCACAAGCTCTTTGCAGTTTGTGTCATGCGGTTTAAGAAATCTTCCTTTGACTCTTTTAGGCTAATACCATACACACTTTACTTGTCTCAACAAGCTTGGGATTAATATGATCATAATTCAAAAACTTAAAGGTTTGTTAGTTGCTGGATATATTGGTGAATCCAGTTTACGGTTGGTTTTGTCCCTGGGAGGCCGTCTAAATGATTGATGATTCTACATTAGTCAGGGAGACACTTAATAGGGTGAAAGATAGCCAGGTTAGTAATCTTTTTGAGCATTCCAGACTTATATGGTCCTACTGTTGATCTATTAGAAGTGTTGGGTTTTGCTTCTGATGATGATTGTGAAGCTCCTGCTGGAGTCTGGGTTAGATAAACTAGAATGTTTTATGTAACCCCACTTTGACACTGAAGTTTTGCATGTACACATGCTAAACAGTTGGCCCTGTCAATGGCATTGACCGTGTACTTCATATCCAGTCTAGTCTTCAGAGTTGAGATGCAGCCTCATTTTTTTTTCTTTATATTTACGTCTTACATATTGAAAGAGAATGATTTTACCAACTTATGATAAACTTTCCTACTTTTGCTTTGGAAAAAAAATACAGGCTTGTCAGTAAAGGCTGCAAGTTAGTTGGCTGTGGGTCAGCTGTGCCAACTCTTTCAGTTTCCAATGATGATCTTGCTAGAATAGTTGATACTTCTGATGAATGGATCTCTGTCCGCACTGGAATACGAAATCGACGGGTTATTTCAGGTCAGGACATACTCTAATACATACTAGTGCGATGTATAGAATATTTGTCTACTGTTTTGCTGGGATTTCCTCTTTTCTCAAACTTCAGTAATGTGATTAAAACCTTTAGCTTGAATCTTGTTGAACGGTATTCAGCTTGAAAAGTCCCAGCCTAGGTATGCTGAGTTAGATTGGTTTAAAGTACAGCCATTTACGCTAGCTATTTCTCAAGGCATTAGAAAATAGTTTCTAGAGCCCATTATAATATTGCAGAGCTTTGGCCTGGCTTAAGTGTTGCATCACTTATTTCTAAATTGCTTTTCTGGTCATAGCTGGATAGAGACCTTGTCTATCTGTGTAGATTTTTGTTAACCACAAATGCAAGCTTACATTTCTTCTCTTTTATATATTGGCATCTTTATTTCGTTGTGAAGGAGATTCCTTTTAACAATTGCTCTTACAGGAAAGGATAGTTTAAGAAACCTAGCGGTTGAAGCAGCAAGAAAAGCTCTTGAAATGGCAGATGTTGATCCTAATGATCTTGACCTAATCTTGATGTGCACATCTACTCCAGAAGATCTTTTTGGTGGGGCTCCACAGGTATAGGGGAATAGGTTGATATTTATTGCAGAATCCAATAAGGAGGCTTTAATAATGAGAGCAATTTGCATGATTTATGCCCTGAGCTGCATATAGGTTTCTACAAATCTAGGATTAGATCTATGCATTTTAAACAAAACTGCTTTCCCATATACTGAGATGAAGAGAAAATTTATAAGTGACATGTCCTGGGTTATCTTGAAATCTTGTTTGTGTTGACTAGCACAAATAGTGTATGTTTTTAGGTATTACAGGAAATATTAAGCATATGCTCCCCACCCACCCACAGACACACACACCCTTTTTTTTTCTTTCTTTTTCTGTATTTTAGAACTGTCAATCAGCTATTGGTCTCAGAACTCTTAAATATTTGTAAAAACTAAACGTGCTTTTAATTTGTTTACATGCATGTTTGGGTTTGATAAGGGGTTTCGATGGATTTTGGGTAGTGGGATCTCATGGGAAGTAGTGTAACCAAATATTGTTGAAAACTATAACCATTGCTTTAAGTTACACGATGGTTACAAACTTAGGAACATACATGAATTGTGGTTGGAGGATAGGGGCCTGAGCAAAGATTTTGATTTCAGGCTTAAGAATTCTCTTTTGTGTGAAAGAGGCAGGTTGTAAAACGGTAACTTTTGTTCTACAGATTTAATCAAGTGCCGTGGGGCATAAACTTCATATAAATACAAAAATTACTTTCAGACACAGTTTGGTTTAGATGACTATTTGGCTCTACAGATTTAGTCCAATTGCAGCAGAGGTTGGGCTTACTTGAGTTACTAGTCTTCAATTTTGCCTGTCGGTCTTGACACTGCATATGTGCTTGTTTGAACTGTAATTTGTGTATGTTTTATTGAACACTAATTTATACCTTGAATTGCTCTGGAAACCTTTATTGAAATTGTCAGGTCCAAAGAGATCTTGGCTGTACAAAAACTCCTTTAGCTTATGATATTACTGCTGCATGTAGCGGATTTGTGCTGGGTCTGGTCTCAGCTGCGTGCCACATTAGGGGTAATGAATAATTTAGTTTGCAGCAAGGACGTTTTGATTATGCCCATTCTTGTGTTATGAAATTAAACCTTCACCTTTGTAAATTACAGGAGGCGGGTTTCGTAATGTTTTAGTGATTGGAGCTGATGGTCTTTCTCGATTTGTTGATTGGAGTGATAGAGGGACATGCATTCTCTTTGGGGATGCTGCTGGTGCTTTACTAGTTCAGGTAATACCTTCTTTTTGTAAGTTCACTCTTTTCTGGATGATGTGATGATAATTTCTTGGACTTGCATCAGCTCGTACAGACTGTCATTTCATCCTATTTCAGATTCTAGTTCCCTTGATGAGGATGATGATCTGCTTTGTCTATGTACATGCATATGTGGTGTTTCTGTCTACCAAAGGTCATAATAGTTGGCTGTAAATAGAGAACTGTTTATGAAAAAAAAAGATCTTTCTTTGTCTTATATCAAGTTGTAGATGGTTGCATGTAATCTGAAATCTTAGCATGGAACAATATTTTAGTGCAACATATCGCTTGATGAGATGCCAAGCACAATTACACATATGACAATAGTATGGGAGTGGTATTTGCCTTACTTGCCCATTATATTACATTCTCTGACAGGCTTGTGTGATGGAGGACTTAAATAGATGTCCTGGTAAAAGATAAGTTCCTGCATTTTACTTTAATACTTTGTTGCACATTACAAAGTACAGGATTGGAAGTATCTGTATTCAGCAGAAGAAAAAGTCCTAATACTTTGTTGCTCTCGTCTTAGATTTGCAAAATAAAATAACAGAATTAGATTTTTTCTCAGCAGAAGATTTTGGGAGTAGATGAATTTGAGCGGCAGGTTGCCCCTTGCATCCAAAATCCATAACATTGTGCATGTAATAGAGGTTCCTATTATTATCAGGCAGATTAAAATTAGAACTAGTGGGTTTGAAATGACAAGTCTGCTAGGAGAATTGTCTTTCACCTTATATTTAGTTTGTCAAAAACCAAATTCTGTAACCCTGAGGCAAACAAAATTCAACCATTATCAAATTAGCAGTTTCAGTAAGCTAATTTTAGAGTCAATTATTGCCATTATCGTATTTGTTATACCAACTTTTATGCATGTTGATGTGCATAAAGTGATACCAGTCGAATGGTTTCTTATAAAATAAAATAGTTACCGCATACCTGTTTTCTTCTGCAATGAAACATGACATCATTTGTGATACAAATTATTCTGTAGGCCTGTGATGCTGAGGAGGACGGTTTATTAAGCTTTGACTTGCATAGTGATGGTGAGGGTGGAAGGTATGTGCTTCTCATGTTGTGGAAATAAACGCACTGTATTGCTTTCTCTGAGGAATTTGACTGAGCTGTCACCCCTGTTGCAGACATCTTACTGCTTCCATAAAGGACAACAAAACTGATGAGCTGTTGAGTTCAAATGGTTCAGTGTTAGATTTCCCTCCAAAAAGGTTCTCTTATTCCTGCATACAGATGAATGGCAAAGAAGTTTTCCGCTTTGCCGTGCGATGTGTGCCACAATCAATTGAGTCTGCCTTGGAAAAAGCTGGTCTCACTGCATCCAGCATTGACTGGTTATTGCTCCATCAGGTATATGTTTTAGAGTTTATGGAGATGGTACAGCTTTTGTTTTTCTAATATACATCCTGCCATGTACTCGACCTGCTAGCTTAACCAGGAGAGCTCCAAGATTATATAGGTGCTTAGATTTCTCCTAAATCACTGCTGTTGTACATTATTGTCATTGATGCATTGTTCTTTCAGTTTTACATCTCACTTCATGAACTATGAGAAAGGCCCTTGACAGAAACTGGCTTAGACAGTCATCTGGTCATATTTTAGGAGTTTAGGTTTTGGGGTGCAAACATCTTGAGAATAGGAAGAATGCAATTGGTTCTGGCTGTTGTCCTTATACCTCAGCAACTATGGGAAGTTGTTTAAACCTAGTTGGTGAAAAAGGAACATTAGTGCTGATTCAATTGATTTATGTTGTCCATGCTCATCAAAAGTAATGGGTAAACCCCAAGCCGCCAGAAGTGACTAAGTGCAGCCTCGTAATTGACATATTTATATCTGAGAGTGGTACTCAGTATAATATCTTCCAATGATTAAAAAAGGGGAAAATCTAACAGAGATATGATTAATGCAGGCAAACCAGAGGATTATTGATGCAGTTGCAACACGTTTAGAAGTCCCACAGGAACAAGTCATATCAAATTTGGCAAATTATGGTAATACGAGTGCTGCATCCATTCCTTTGGCATTGGATGAAGCTGTTCGAAGTGGAAAGGTGAAGCCAGGCCATACAATTGCAGCTGCAGGTTTTGGTGCAGGTCTAACTTGGGGTTCAGCTATCATTAGATGGGGATGAAAAATCACCATGCTGCCAAATTACCTGTGTAGAAATGAAGAGAAATCCTTATGAATAGCAGCTCTCTCCAGTTACCACTCCCTATCCAAAAGTACGCAGATAATGGGAGTTTGCAATCACATAATCTCCTTCAGCTCCATTTCTTTTGTTGGAAATTTGTTATACTTTAGTTGTTGCACTGCTAATAAATTTTTATTCTTTTTCCTCGAGCTTTTCAACTTTTATTTTCTGTATCGCCATATGAGCACAGTTCTTCCTTTTACCCCCTTGAGTCAAACATGGGCAGAAGTATGTTACAGCTGAGGAAAGAAGAGTGTTTTTACAATGCGACACTGTGTTAGTTCTTTCATCACGAACGATACAAAAATTTCTACAGATCATGGTTCAACCTATAATGGACATCAAGAAGTTTATCATGCTTGCAAAAACTGAATATTTTATACTGATAAATAATATAGAAATCATCACATTCTCTCTGCACCTTTGCAGTGAAGTAGGAAGCTGAAAAGGGCAAAAAAATGTAGTATATAAGTAAAATACCAGTAGTAAATACAGATAAGAAACCAAATTGAACTTAGGTCAGCGAGCTAATATGTTGGCAAGCCTCTCTCTCATCCTTTGTAGAGTTCCATCCATCGCAGTATCAAATGCATCCTTCTTGGTCCTCAATCCCAGTGAACTACCATGCCTTCTATACATAACTCTAGGGATCAAATCACGAACACTTTCCCTCATCCTCCTCACCTCACTCCTTGGTATCCCCATTAACACATCCAAAATCCTTAACCCTTTAAAAACCACCTCCTCCTTTGGTATAAACACCGAGAACTCTGCATATTTCTCCTCCGGCAAATGCCACACGTACTGCATTTTTGCTGACAATTCTTCAAAGAAAACTGGTATACAACCTGCAAGGATTGCATCAAAAGTTGACCTTCTAGTTGGAGTATCCCCTGGAGGCTGCAAACAAAAGGTTGCTTGTAGCATAGGCTTCATGTACCTTATAGGATCATGCTCACATATCCCGTTCGAGCAATCCACTATATCACATATCTTTGAGTACATCACATTATTTTCAAGAACGTTAAATCTGCTGCTGTTGTTGTTGATGCTGCTATTCTCACATTCATTCCTTATGCTCCTCCTGATATTTGGGGTGGCACCAATTCCACCGCCACCAGCAAACAACATTAAAGTAGTCCTCTTGGACCTCTTCACCCGTTGAATCCAAGCCTCAAAGAATGCCAAATTCTGAGGATGAAACGACGTAGGATAAGGCACAGCATGTTCCTGCCAAGGCCAAGCTCTTCCCTCAGGAACCAAAGCAGTGGCGTTGTAAAACTCAGGCAATTCAAGAAATGAAGTACCCCATATAGGAGGATCATTATTCAACGGCTGAGAGAAATCCCAAGCAGGTCTTGCCATAACTAAAAAATGATCATGGCCCATATGCCGCTTCCATATTCCAGGTTCATCAGATTGCAAAAAATCAAACAATTCCATCCCATGTTGGAAGCTGGAATTCACATCAGGCCCATACAAATACCTTAACGAATCAATGGCAGCATAATAAGGAAGAAAGATGGCATTTGCAACATTAGGGTCATCTGTAAGACAAGGGTACTCCAGGATTCTTCTATGGAAAACGAGTTCCAGTAACAAAGGGTCAGTACGGTACCAACTACGAGATTTGGCATGGGTTTTTGGTCCCAAGCCGTGGTTTGCTAAGTAAGGACAAAAGTCATCAAAAAGTGGGTATTCAGAACAGTTAGTAAGTAGATCAAGATTGAATCTAGAGGGGAGGTTCCTGATGTGGATCCAACGGTTGTTGCAGTCTTCTGTCGTTGTCCGGTTTGTTGTTGATTCAGTGTTCAAGATTTGTTGGGAAGATGCTGAATTGATGATCGATAGAAGGAAGAAGTGGAATTTGATGGAGAAGAAGATTGAGGTGATTTGGGTCTTGCAGGCCATGGTGGAAGCAGATGGAGAAAACACAGTAAGTCTAAGAACCCTTCTGTATGTGGCTAACCATGATCTTTTTCTGGGTTTTTGGTTTTTTAATCTCTGTATTTTGTAGTGTTCCTTTTTTTTTTAACAGGAACTCAGTTTGGCACTCCGCTTTTTTGGAATTGTGCTTTGTTGGGGGCGAAGAGAGGTTCAGGTTCCAAAACTGACAATGAAACATTGCAGTAATTCTTTATTCTTTCAGTTTTTTACTTTCTTTTTTTCCTTCTTGTTTTCAAACGGTAACTTATGACAGTGCTTGGAGGTGTTCTATCTTTGACCCAGCATTGTCGGTGGAAAAGAGCAACTGCCTGCACCGCGTATTCAAGCACCCCATTCAATGCGGCGACGTTTTCTTCAGTGTGTTTTGCTTCACATGGTTGTGACGCTGCTCCTCCGTTGTTTTCTTTTTTTTTATTTGGGTCCCTGCAAGTGACAGTTGTTCTTGATTTGATAGTATAGTTTAATGATGGGAGGGGTGTTACTGCATGGGGCCATGTTCATTAAAAGTTGAGCTCTTGATTGGCTTAAATAAGAATAAAAGCAGAGGATTTGGCCATTGGCAGGTCAGAAGTTTGACATTTTCAATTGAACCCAATAAATCCATTACATATCATCGGCCATATTTGTTGACACCTAGGGTGTGTTAAGACAGTATACTTTGCAGTTACAGGTAAGGAAATTAGTCTGATCAAGTACATTATTAATTTGACTTGCTACTTCTAAATTTTTGCATTAGGTGGGCATCGATTACATTCAGAAGAGCTACTTTTGTACTCTTAAACAGTCTTATTTTTACTATCATTATGTTGGCCCTCAAAGAGGATCAATATCAAGATCAAAAGCAGTAAAATTACAATCGCATTTGGGTCAAGTTAGGAACTTGAACCAGGAGTCCCTTGTTATTGACTAAACTCGCTTCGCTTTTGCTTATACTACTACTATGATAGGACTTGATAAAGCATTCGAATTATAAAATGAGAGACATTACTTCTAAGTTTTACAAAATAGGAAAAAGTCATTACATTCTGATCAAGACTGATTCTGCGAAGCATATTCAGCAACTATCTTCGGGAAAGTTTTCCATCGAACACTACCGGATGGAAGCTGATATGAACCTCTTTTGTCCCCTTGTGAAGAACTATTACAAATTTACAAGGAGTAGCTGAAATGATTGGATTAGACCCATGCAAGATTAAAATGGCCAACAGCCAGGAGATGGGTAAATTCATTGGAGTTAGACCTTAACAAAGCAATTGCACCAAGAAGCTTGGACAGGGTGCTAACCTCATTACTGCAGACGTCTGAACAAGAAACAAAACCAAACACTTGGTAGACCAAGAAAGAAAAATAAATATACACGCAGAGGCTCAAAGTCCCCAGTGAACTCCATTGATCGGAATCTTGCATCTTTCAAATTCACCAAGCAATGCCGGGTCTTTAAACCCAATAAGAAATTGGGCCAAACCTTCAAGAAACAAAGCACCCTGATAAACATCAGTTGCATTAACAATCTCGATGATCACACTCCTCCTCAACCTATTAGCGTCCACAAATACACCCAACATTTCTTCCATTTCAACCTTCACTGCCTCCTCCAGGGCCATTTTCTTTCCCGCACATGCAACCCATTTTTCTGCAACCCTCCCCACAAAAGCTGCCTGAACTTTCTTTACTCTAGAAACAAGTGGGGGAACCATTAGCCTTAAGCCACACTCAATCTGTTCGATTCTTAACACCAAGTTCTCGGATGGATTCGTCCAGGCCATCAAAACCGGCCAGGGTTTGTCTAGGGAGTACTCCAAAGTTTCAAGAAGTGACCCCTTAGCAGGATAGTTGAAACCATTTTTTTCGGCGTCTTCTTCATTGTTGGCTGCATCGATGAATGAACGGAGGAGGTTGGTGAAAAGGTAAGGGTGGAGATCACCAAGAAAAAGGAAAGGGATTTCGAGGGAGTTGCGCCAAGAAGGAAAAAGAATCTGAGAAACATCATTGGAGGCTGCGAGGTCGAGGAAGTCGTAATGGGAGAGGAAGTGTTGGAGGAGGAGGTCACGACGGAAGGGGAGGAGAGTGGGTGACGGAGAAGAGAGGGACTGGCGGAGGAGAGGGAGGAGGGTGGTCGTGAGAGTGTTGAACCAGTCTTCGTACAAGTCCTTGAAAGAGACAGTGGTGGTTTTCTTGCGAGAGAAAAAAGAGAAGGGTCTTGGCATTGCTGCAGAAGATGATGTGTTTGGTGGATGGTGGAGGAATTTTAGGGCGGGTGAGTGGTTTCTTGGCTTTGTTGCAGAATGGAGAGAAAGAAACAGAGCAGAGGGTTTGGAGGGAAAAAGGCACGTATCGCTGTCGGTACCTTGGTGGGTTTTGGCCTTTTTGGGGGCTGTCTCAGGTTTGGGCCTGCATTTGTTTAATCCCACATGCAGGTGGGAGGTGAAAAAAGGACATTCTTTCTTATCTTCGGCTAAGAGCAAGAAAGCCCACTGATAAATTAGGATCGATTGTGAACAAATACTTGCATTTGTTAACTCAGTCCATTCCAAAATTTCTCGGGCCAATGTTCAGCAGTCCATCCCTGTGGCTCCTTCAAGGGCCTGGAATCCAATCTTAGGAACCCTTTACCCATGGTGTCTATCAAGAGGTAGTGGTAGTGCTAACGGCAAATACCTGTCTTTCCATGAATTGAGTGATTGTGGACAAAATTTATTTATTTGTAGATTGTCTACGATTAGAGGGACATCCTTACCTTACAATTTGCTGGAAATAACCAAAAAAATCGATTCTCATATTCAGAGATGGAAAAAGAAAAGGAGTGCTCCTGCTGATTGAAACTTTTGGTCTTACTTGAATCCTTGAATAAAACAAACACTATACATAGCAAATTTGGTTTGTTTCTACATCTAAATCTCTCATACTCAAAAGCTCAAAGGATTTGTTGAAACAAATGCTACGAATTCTGCAACAGCTTTTCCTCAAAATTTTTCATGGGTCAAATTGCCCAAATCTTAAGCTGCAGCTCATGCCTTGGAAGGTTGGATGAGAAACAGACCTTGGATACTTGTTATTTTTTTTTTCTTTTAATGGCTTGCAAGAGAGTAGTGTCCAAATTTCTGATATGAATTCTCCTTAATTACAGAAGATATTTAGCTATGCCAAATATGGTATACCTTGACCTTGGACTCAGGATACCGGTGGTATTTAACATTGCAAACCTGGATATTAGTGAAGGATTTCATTTTGGTATTCTTTCTTTAATATTTGCTACTGATACAGAGTAAGATTGTTGAGCACCAGACCAACGTTATCAACTCTTGTTTCAATTACTCACTGTCTCCTGTTAGAGCATGTGCACTGATATGTTCTATAAATAAACAGGACAAAACCAGGAAGCCATAACCAGAATTTAGGGATTTTTTTTTTCTTTTTTGGTTATTTTAGATAGTTGCTTGAGGCTGTGATCAGCACTCAGCAGTGAAAGGATACGAAGTGTAGATATATATAGTAATGACACTTGCCTTAATAATTAATCACATCGTATTTCAGGTAACTCAAAATAATTGTTCCAAGTGGACTAGGTTCGAGTACAATTATTTAATCCAAAACCCAAAGGTATAATTGGATTAAAGGGCATTGATATATATTTTTGTCAGTCAAGGTTCTTACTTTATCCAAAACAATCATTTTGAAAGTACATAGTCTAAGAACGAAGGATGAATCTTTTTACTAACAGAAATTCTTATCCACCCCTAAATCACACGTTTCACACCCATCGTTTCCGTCTCAATTGCTGCTATATATTTGAAACAAGCAAGCGATCATTCCATTGATTAATGAAGTCCTCCTCCAGGCCACATACATGAACTGTTCGTCTATGGACATTTCAAAACTTAAATAATGTCTGTCTATTAGTAGCATATCTTTATTTTGAAAGGCAATATGAGTATTAGTGGCATATCTTTTTCCTACTTTGGTTAAAATGAAATACCAATGGCTATCAAGTCACTACACGTAGTACATACTGACATTGGCCTGTGCATGTATCCCCGAGCGGGACCATAACTTTGTTGTCTTAAACGTAGAATTTCGATGTCACCATCTTCCTTTTTTTCTTTGTGAATATCATTTGAAACTCATGCATTGATGTATGAATCAGACGTTCCATGATCTTAAAGGTTGTCTTTTGTGACAAGTTGAGAGGGGGGTAGATGAACAGAAAAGTCTTTTCACAGATGCGCATTAGGCAAATGACAGCAAAGTGAGTTCCAACTCATTAAAAGCTAAGACATTTCAATGAATCGGTCATCATCTCAATAATGTGCTGCGGAGCATCTGCCGGTCAACTTGGCTCTGAGCACCTGAACCAGGGAGTTTTCAGGGGAAAATTTAGCACTTGTACTGTACATAATAATTTTGCATAAGAAATATAATTCAATCTCTTAGCTTGGTAAGTTGTAAGAGTCTCTGTCTCGATAAATTCGAAAGAAAGCCCAGACAGAGGCTGTGTATTCGTTCCTTACAATAAGTTATCCATAGGCCAAATTCATCATCTTCTTGTACACGCACACCAAAAAAAAAAACAGTCATTCACTGTTGCAATTAGTTCTGCGCCGATTGAGGATGTTCAGAACCTGTCTTGTCTTGTCTTCATTTTTGTTAAGTTATCCCCTTAAACCAACTTCTTGTCATTACTCTCTCTCTCTCTCTCCATTGCTCATGCGCGACATATGCACGTGAGCAAACACACACATGATTCAAACACAATCTGTTCTTCCAAAATCGAGTGGCATAACACTACAAATGATGAAAACTTGAGTATGTGCCCGGAAAATATTCGGAATAATACTTCTAAAGTTGTTAGACTAGCTAGTTTTCCGTTTATCAATGAATTGCAAATAAACTAATACTAATAAAAAAGGCTAGTTATTACCTGAAAATATCAAGACATGTGAGTTACTTTTAACCCCAAGCATCAGAGGATGAGTTCAAAGAAATGATAAGTAAGACTACACGAAGGGAATATTAATACACCCAATTGTCAACTTGAATAATTAATTTTGTGAAGTTCTTGGATAATGATCGATGGCCAATATGTTATTTCTGGGCTCGCCTTTTGAACAATCTTTTAAATGTTGCTGCCGCAGAATGGTTTATGCATATAAGTAGCTGAATGTGGTAGTTAATGGACTCCAATAAACG